AGGAAAGTTAGGGGTATTTTGGGAGTTTTGAGGGAATTAGGGTGTTTTGGGCAATTTGAATGGTTTGGAATGGTTTGATATGATTTTTTGGTAGGAATTGGTAATTTGGGCAATTTTGGGAAATTTAGGGTTCCAGGAGCATTTTGGTAATTTTTGAAAAAAGAGTAGAAGGCCAAAGATGAGTGTTTAAGTGGAATTGAAGGCTATTGGAAATGCTAATCAAAAGGACAACCCTTTAGGGCCATGAGACCAATGGGCACGATCCGAAAAGGCTATGATTTCTACAACATGGTGAGGTTCACGTTCGCTTCCATGGGAGAGGCTGCCTTAACCAAAGGCTAAGGGCTTGGGGACCACCCACATGAGTTTCCAAAAGAGTGGGGAAACAAGCTAAGTGAATGTGATTTTGGGGTTTTAAGAATGTGTGAGAGGGGTTTGAACATTTGTGTGTGTGTAGGTCTGACCAAGACCAAAACCAAGCCACCCAGGGCTAACCCTAAGGTCTGACAATCTTATGGGGAATCCTCTTGAGCTCCCCCATGTTGGTTTCATCCTTCTAAGTGCTACAGGTCAAAACTACACATGTGGAACTCCAAGAAGAGTAAAAAATATTTAGAATTTCTAATGGGGTAGGGTTTCTTCACTAGTCTATAGTTAACAAGAATGTCATATGGATAGATCCTAGGCTTCTAAGGAATAAAGACCAGACCTCAACAAAAGTGAGGTCAATAAATGGGCTCCAAATAGGTGTAGTGTGTCGGATGAGCACACCGCACGTATTGGCGTTGATTGAAGAGATCAACAAAACCAACACAGACATTCTAAGCTAACTAACTTGGAACAAAATGTAGAATGAGTGAAGAAGGCTTCCTCTTGGGAGTAGTGGGTGAACCTCCAATTGAAGTTGTGAAATTTTAATTGTGATCATGGCTCTTTTACCCTTATAAAGGGGTGTTTTATGAATTTAGGTGGGCAACCATCAGAGTTCCTTGTTGGGAACTCGATGGTCGTGACAAGCTTGATTTGTTTTTTATTTGAATTTAGATTTTAATTTTTGATTTCGACTTTGATCTTGAATTATATTTTTGAGTTAAATTTTGTGATTTTACAGAATTTTAAATTAAAAAAAGTTAGAAAACCAGGCTGAGATGGAATGCACGGGGACTCATATCCAACTCAAGGACTAGTGAGAAAAAGGAGTGATACGTTGGGAAGGAAAGCTTGGTGACTCACATCCAACCCAAGAGGTAACACAAGTACGGAGAGTGCCACATCAGGAAGGAAAGCACTGGGACTCACATCCAACTTAAGAGGTGACAAGTGATGCTAAGATGAGAATAGGATGCCTTACTTCACTTAAGGGGGTCTCACACCTATCTTGAAGTGTTGAGACGAGAATAGGATGCCTTAATTCATTTAAGGGGGCCTCACACTTATCTCGAAGTGTTGAGGTGAGAATAGGATGCCTTACTCCACTTAAGGAGGCCTCACACCTATCTCAAAGTGCTGAGAATGTCACATTACACAGGAAAGCACAAGAGCTCGTATCCAACCCAAGAGGTGTCAGAAGGGAATCAGAATTTAGGTACTAAACCAGAGATGGGAACTGAAATTTAAGTACCAACTTCGGAATGAGAATCAGAATTTAGGTATTGATCTCGAGAATTTGATTTTTCTACATTATGAAGGAAAGCTCAAGGATTCTCATCCAACCCAAGAGGTAGCGGAGGGAATCAGATTTTAGGTACTGACTCCGAGATGGGAATTAGAATTTAGGTACCAACCCTAAGAATGAGAATTAGAATTTAGGTACTGACCTCGAGAATTTGATTTTGCTATAATGGGAAGGAAAGCTCAGGGACTCACATTGAACTCAAGAGGTAGCGGAGGGAATCAAAATATATGTACTGATCCCAAGTTGAGAATAAGAATTTACGTGTCGACCCTAAAGATTTGATTTTGCTACATTAGGAAGGAAAGCTCAGGGACTCACATCCAACCCAAGAGGTAGTAGAGGGAATTAGAATTTAGGTACTGATCCCAGGATGGGAATCAAAATTTAGGTACCGACCCTAAGAATGAGAATCAAAATTTAGGTATCGACCTCGAGAATATGATTTTGCTACATTGGGAAGGAAAACTCAATGATTGACATTCAACCCAAGAGGTAGCAGAGGGAATCAGAATTTAGGTATTGATCCCAGGATGAGAATCCAATTTTAAGTATGGTTCCCGAAGATTTGATTTTTGATATATTTGAAAGGAAAACTCAGGGACTCACATCCAACCCAAGAGGTAGCGGAGGGAATTAAAATTTAGGTACTAGTCCCATGATGGAAATCAAAAGATTTGTGAGTGCGAAAAACTTGGCGAAAAGAAATGAGGGAATTTGTGGACACTTTATGCAAAGTTTGGGAATCTTGTGAGAGTGGAAGTTATGGAAATTTGTGCGAATGGTGGACTTTGTGGTGCGAAGAGTACGAAGTTTCGAGTAAATTTGTTCTTTATTTCTATCATTTTCTTTTATTATTAGTATATTTTCTAAATTTGATGTTCTTTCATTCTCTTTTAACTTTGAATTTTATTTTCATTTATTATCAAACTTTTTTTGTATCATTCTTTGTTTGTTACAGTTTGGGACTAACGTATGGTCCTATGGCTTTTTATCAATCGCACAAACGTGACAGCTCAAAAACACATGTTGAAGCAACAAGAAATGATCCTCATTAATTTTTTGCCGAAATTTAGTACAACTGATCATATGCAGACGCTATCCAAAACAACATCAGGAGTACATCCATGTAGAAACTGTAGATTCTTATGTCATATGCTCCCTGCTCTAGCACATTACAAAAAGGTAGCAAACATCTGTTTGTCCCCTGAGGTCGTCTTGTGATCAAGCTAACATCCTAAGCCACGCTCCGGGACAAAAATCCCCTTGCGTATACTTAGAGGTACAGTTATCTCATAGCTCAAGCGATCAAAGTCCCTCCAAGTCCGGGTCGGGCCGGTATCCATACGATATCTTGCTATCATCCATCCTTCGTACCTTTTTTTAGAGATTATATCCCGGTGTTCGATTTACTTTTCTCCTCCCATTAAATTTGGATGAAAACTTTATTTCAACCATTGAATGAAAGTTAAAATTGGTGTTTGAGATGCTTTTGGAGATTCTACATATTTGCTGAAACGAATTAGCCAAAATTATAGCTCATTCCTTATTTTAAGTGGGATATTATTTCTTAGTTTCTGGATTGGAGTCTCTTAATTTTGGTTTGGTTTGGCTGAACTTTATTTTCTCTTCCTCATTTCTTCCTTCCTGGAGTTTGTATGAGCTTTCGTTTTTGGCTTTTGAGCTTTTGGGTTCTCTTGCTGTTAATCCCTATATTTTTATGTTCTTTCATATTTTTTCTAGTTTTTTAGATTGTTGTTAGATGTTTTTGGGTGTTGATCCTATTGGTGCTACTTGTTGTTGATCCTAATGGAGTCGTTTGTTGCTGATCCTTGTGTTGTTATTTGTTGCTGATCCTAGCAGTGCTGATTGTCGTTGATTCGCGTGAAGTTATTTGCTGTTAATCCTTGTGGTTTTGCTCTTCTTTTGTTGGAGTTCTTACTTTTGTGAAGGATCGTTTGGAATTAGAGCTTTCTGGAGGCTGTTTGGTGTCGATTTAAGTGGTTTTCTCCTAGAATTGTTGTTTCGGTGTCTCTTTTTGAGCTCCATTATTGTAGCGCTTTTTGTTTTTGTCTTTAGTGTCATTGGGTTGCGTTCTACTTGTGTTTCTTGAGTTGTACCTTTTTTTTCTTCTATTGAATGTAGTTGGGACTCTCATCTTTTCTCAAAAAAAAAAAAAGCATTAGAAAAATACTTCACCGTACTTGTAAATAAAGAATCCAACATAATTTTTAGGTTATTTGGTTACAACATATTCTACCAATCACAACAAAGATAACGCTATACATATACATACATACATACATATATATAATATATATATATATATATATATATATTAAGAGAGTGTTTGAGACACTTTACAGAAATACTTTCTATCCGGATTTCGGAGGTAGCTCTATGTGCTGACTACAATAATATGCCGCCACGTGTGAAACATCGCGGGGCTTATTTCGAGATTATTGAAGTGGAACTGAGGAGGTTATTTCAGAGGTATTGAAAAGAAACTCATATATTCCACTTCCATAACCCCGAAACAATCCAGAGATGAACCCGAAATAACCTCCACGCTTCCAGTTCAATAATCCTAAAATAACACCGCGGAGGTTCTTCCGGAATTATTGAAGTAGAACCGCAAAAGTTATTTCAGGGTTATTGCGCTGTCTCGCGGTTCGACTTTAATATTTATTTAAGTGGGCCCGATATACCACACAGGACGGTATATTACCACACAGGACGGTATATTACTGGAGTCCGCACATAGAGCTATATACGCAGTCGTAATGAAATTTTTTTTTCACTATTTACAGGCAGATTTACTTGTATGGATTTAACGTAAATCCATCAAACAAGAATTCGATGGATTTAAATCCCGCCTTCAGCTAAATCCAAACATTTTTGAAAGGTGATGGTAATCCTGGATTTATTAAATCCGAGCTGAAGGTAAAATTACCTCATCGTTAAATCTTTAAAACAAATGTCAAACAACTATTATGAATTTAACGGGATTTAACCTAAATAATACCAAACATATTTTAAATTTAACCTCATTGCATTGCTTAAATCCAGTTCTTTCCGATTTAATAAATTCTATTTAAATCAGAAAAAAATGTTCTCCGCCAACAAAGTGAAATGGCTAGTCCGGAACAATCTCCTAACCGGTCCGGGCGCAATCAAATTTGCACAGCATAACAACATTGACTAACAAAAGACCTCGCAGAACAGAAGCATTCCCCAACAGCTATCATAAGAACACTTCATCCTTCCCAACCCCTGTCGCAAGTCCAAACCTTTCAAGGCGCCTCATGAACAAAACAAGTATTAGCAACTACTTCCTGCATATTCGATCCATGACTACAACAAACGCCATTATAAGCTCACAGTCCACTCCTGCCTTGACATTCAGCGTGAACACATCATCTCCAAGCTGTACCAAAGAATTCGCCTTTTTCCGAGTTATTTGAGCCACCATCTCCTCCCAATTCCCTCTACCCTGCCTTATTATTCTGCAAGATCTGCTCCTAAAGCTTCCCTCCACCCAGAATCTTGGCTCTTCTTCATCAGTAATGCGACTAATCATAAACACCTCGGCTACATCCATCTGGCAATGAAGAATGGATGGTCTTCTCATTGAGAAAAGTGGCTTATTTGATCTTGTCTTCTTCTTCTCTCCTTCATATGCATCCCATTGATCATGCATGCTTAGCATCTGCAATAATGATGCAATGAGCATGCGAAGTTAATAAATTTATAACATTTTAATTAATATTTAGTAAAAAGGAGTCACCTTTGGCTGGAGAGATAGGAGAGGCTTTCCTGCTGCGTCCATGAGGAGGAGTGTTTTCTGGTTTCTGCAATAGTTGTCAATTCTGAAGGTTAATTTGCCATCTGCATCGTACACGGAGAAACCATCCATCCCTACGAATCCCATGCTCGATCTTTTCCACACTGTCCATCTCATCGTGGACGTTGTAATTGTTGCTGTCGTGGTCATCGATCTCATCATCAGCTCTGTCTCTCCGTCCTCATCAATGATGGGATGTCTCTTGCCGAACATTGAATTCGAAGGATGGAGTTAATGGGTCAAAATGTTTGGCTGTATTTATAAACATATATGTCTAAGGAGATTACTTTTGCGTGAACAACATGTCAAGAATAAATCAAGAATGGGCAGACAGTGCTTAGTAACAAGTTGTGACAGGTGGAGCCATAAGTTTTTCAAATGGGGGCACAGAATGATTTTTTTTAAATTTCTCTGAGTTTTTTTCTTTGAGTTTATAAAGGAACCGAATAATTTGTAGTTTAATTTTTTTTTTATATCTATTTATGTGAATGAATTCACACTTTATGTTAAGAATTATAATAGAAAATAATTTATTTCTATATAAATTATTTCCTTAATATAAGGATTTATTTTCTTTCATATTTTATATTTATTTTTTAAGATTAAGAATTATTTGGTTTCCTATCTTATTTTATTTCATTTATCTCCTAATAATTAATATGAATTAATTATTGGAGATATTATATGATATATCTTTCCTTACATATTATTTTCTTTTTATTATTTTTCCTATTATAAAGTTCTTGTAAGGATTATTTATACATTCGTTCATATCAATTAAATAAAATAATTATTCCACTTTATTCCGCATTATTCTGAATTTCAACGTTTGTAACAACTTGTTTTTCTAAAGATAAAATATATCAATTTTGTAACTACAACTTTGAAAAAATTATTTTCAGCAAATAACAAATGATACGAGGTTAAAGTTTTAGTTATTCCAACGTACAATAATAATGAAAGAGAAAAAAAAAATAGATATATATATTTTTATGAAAGCGGGGGTTTATGTGTATACAAGCAGTGACTTATTATCAAATAACATACATTTCCGTAATAATGGGAATTGCTGGCAATGATTTTATTAAGCATCTCACCCTTGAACAGTTAAAGATATTTAAATATAAGTCTTTATATCTTTGATTTAACATAAAATAATTGGACAAACGATGGGTTAATTTTCTATATATATATTTTTTACATTTAAATATTTATTTATTTTTACTCATGTTTATTAAAGTTTAAACAGATAATTAACATTTATTGAAAATATCATTTCTTAATATTTATATGATTTGTGTGTTTACAGGAATTTAGATTTTTTCTGACGGCCACAATCCGTCAGTTATGATAAGAAAAACTATTGTTTTTAACGTTACCGGCGATTTTAAGTTTGTATGTAAAACACTTGCCGGTAATTCCAAAACCGACTTATATTCTAACTATATAAATTTAACGATGGTTGTTCGCAATTTAATGCTGTAGTTTTTTTTTCAAAAAAATTCGAGTCGTCGGTTATCATCAGTTTGTATGACTGACGGTTCCTCCGTCAGTAATAGCAACGACATACATGACAAAGAGTGTCACACCCATTGATTTTTTTAAGTAAGCAAAACCGTCGGTTATATGTCTTTTATGTATCCTTTTTTATAACTAACGGTTGAAACTGTCAGAAAAGTGTTGCACACACTTATTTTTTGACGCGGGTGTGTCGGTTAAGTGTCGTTTAAGTGTCATTTTTAATAACCGGCCAGTTAACTGTAGGAAAAGTGCCGCACCTGTCGTTTTTGTGTGATACACCTTGAGTCGTTGGTTATGTGTGGGTTAGGCGTCGGTAAAAGCATCAATTGGCTAGCTATCGGTTTTACCTACGGATAAATTTGAAACCATCACAAAGTCGACGACAAAGCGTCGGAATCCTTAGCATAAGGAAAAAAGTTATTTCTTTCGTATTTACATTTACAACACCTATTAGCACAACATTAAATATACAATTTCAAATATTTAACGAAATAACATAGGTGCCAAATAGTAAATTGTTTAACCAAATAATGAAATAATAAAAATGAATTTACTCTAAAATATGTATTCACTGTTCATAAAAAAATATATGTCTAAATGTACATAAACATAAAATAAAGTAAAAAAGAAAACTCCTTCTAATCATTCTCCTCTATCTTGTCAACCTCATCGTCAACATCCTCTGACGCTTCCTCCTCCTCTAATGTTGTAGTTGCATTGTTATGCTCCCTCATTCGCTATCGGAAGGAATCCAACTTAGCTTTCAACTTGGCCTCCAAGTTGGCCTCTAGCTCCAACCTCATCTGAGAGAAGCGGGCCTTCATCTCAGTAGAGAATGCCGCAGTGCGCCTAAAGATCTCCTTATCTTGTGCGGTAGAAGTAGAAGTTGCAAATGCACTGATGGATGGGTGAGCGTCGTAGGCAAATCTTTGCAACCTAAGTCCGTAGACTCGACCCTTCTTCTTCCCTCTAGCAGTCTCCCTCCATAGGTCGTACTCGGAAGAATCATGCTTGCATATCATATTACCTCCTGAAGCTTGGGATCGGCTCTCCTTCAGCTTCTGGAATCTCTCCTGCAAATAAAAATATTTACATTCAGTTAGAGCTAATATGTATTAACATCAAACTGATTTAGGTCGTTAATTACCTAGGTCGCACGGGAATCATCGTCAATCTAGAACTGGTCAGACTGCATCCTGTGGGTGCACTAATGTACATCGGCAGCGGATGGCTCTCTTCTAATCTCCACAACATGTCCATAAATCAAAATTGATAGAATATATGTTCTAACAATAGAAAACATTATTGAATAAATGAAATATTATCAACTTATGCTTGTATTATGTTATGTGGAAGCGCCTCAATAATTTTCTTGGAGGGCCCATACATCCACAGTCCGACGACCTATTCTATTTTGCTTGCTCCCTCTTCTTATAGTAGTCCAGAGAATTACATGCCCAAAGAAGCATGGCAAAAACATTCTCTCCAGGGGCATAGAGGGCACTGTCACAATTTTCGGATATCGCCTAACATGTCCCATAAGTGATTGTTGCCCTTGAGCTCAAAGTTATGTGGGATGTGCACCTCGTGCTCAAGGGGTCAGGAGAATCGTTTTTACAAATAGTATAGGAATTACGTTCCATTGATAAATAAATTAATTAAATTAAGGTATTTGTGAAAGATACTTATCAGAAACTCCTAAAATCAAAGTTCTCAAATGACCATCAAAATCTCTTTTCATAACAAGTATGTTGAGTTGTACTTGCTCCAAATAATATCCCAAATGACATAAATATTATGGGTCGAGGGTAGAACCTTAAAAAAAAAATTCATATTTTTATATTAAATTGAAAAAATACAAAGATTATTGACCGTATTTAAACAAAAAAACATAAGTGTTGCTGACAGGCTTGATTTTCTATTTGTAGCCTATCGACTCCTACCCAATAGAGGTAGTGTGAGCCTTTCATGTACTCAACCCCGCTACATTTGGGGTGGTGGTAGGGGTGGGGTAGGGGTAGGGGTG